GGGATCTTGCCCTTTCGGTCATGACCCAAAGTTCATGACCATAGGTGAGAGTCGGAACGTAGATTGACCAGTAAATCGAGAGCTTCGCCTTACAGCTCAGCTCCTTCTTCACCACGACAGACCGGTACATCAACCGCATTACTGCAGAAGCTGCACCGATCTGCCTGTCAATCTCCCGTCGGCGCCGACTGATAGTCCTTCTCCATGGTCTCACCGAACTCTTCCCAGACCCGAGTTTTTGCCTCCGCAACCGCCTGGGCTGCAGCCCGCTTGGCCTGCCGGTACCCATCAGCTGTCTCAGGAGTCCCACGAGCCAACAAGGCTCGAAAGGACTCCTTCTTCAGCCTGACGGCAGCCCTTACTTCCGGTGTCCACCACCAGGTTCGGGGGAAAGCCAAATCTGATCATTCTTTGTCTGTCTTTTTGTCAGCATTGTACATCTGAAGTCTTCTGGTCTTTAGAGATTATTTGTGAAGTTTGAAAGGTCAGGAAGTGGAAGTGACTGGGTTTGATTCCCATAGCTCAATAAGCTACTGTAGTCATCAACAAGGAGCCTCCTCCAGCCAGATATTGATTTCTCAAATTTCAACAGACATTCACTGGGTTGCAAATGAATGAGGTTAATGCAATTAATGAGGTTTGTGGGGGTGTTTGCAAAAGCCAATGCATGAAAAATGTAGCTTGCTTTAGGTTCTATGTTTTATACTGTACATACGGTCACTCTGACAGTGGGCAAAAGGGTCTGCTTGGTAGAAGTCCAGCTGACTCAGAGGGCCTGGGTTAACAGTACAATCTTTGTTCTCTCTCCCTGTTTCCCCGTCAGTGTTGTTCTCCCCCTCCTCTGGATCATCTTCTATGTCAGATCTGTCCATCTGTGGAAAATAACACAGTGTTTGTATCCCAAGTCAAGAAGGAAATGTATGAATGCTGATTGGAAGCCCATTATTAGACTGATTGACAGTGTGACCATAAATTGAAAATGTGTGTACCAGCTTGAAAATATTTATTCATATATTTTTCTCCAGCAATTATTGCCTCAAAACTGTTGATGTATCACATTATTCACGTTGTGCATGATGAGGGGTGTTCAGTAGAAATGAAGATACCTTTGGTGAGCTAGTCCCACTGTCATCTGGTTCTTCTCTGGTGTCTGCTAGATTATTGCAGAAAGACAAGCTGCTGGCCCTCTGATAGTCACCCACATAAACAGAGAAACCATGCAACATAACCTTTTAATATCAAGTCACATAAAATTTAATCAGTTTGATAAAGGTGACAGAAACAACACTAGAGGCCTCTGAGCATGTTTGCTAATTACAAGATTTTTCTATTTGGAAACATGTAATACTGAATCAAATCACTGCAATATTCAACAAAAATGTGAGGCCACTGTGAGGCAGATCAGTCAGTTTTTGAGGTGAAGATCTGACCGAGACACAAGTGTACAGTACGTATCAAACAAAAAAGCTAGGCTGGTAAAAGCTTATATCAGAGATGGAGCTTTATTTCTGAATTTCCCTGTTCTGAAGTCAATACAAACAGCCAAAATTGTCACGATCCTGCCCCGTCAGCTTCTGGTCCTGCTTTTATTCTGACACCACTTCCTGTCCCCAGCTCACCCTAACTCCTGGTAACTTCATCTCATCATGCACATTGGTTTCACCTGCCCCTTAATCACTCAGACCTGCTCACCACAGTATTTAGCAGCTCCTCACCCTGTGGGGAGCTGCCAGATTGTTCTTTGCCTAGTCTAGCCTCTCCAGCGGTTTTTTTTTTGTGCCTGATATTCTGAGAACCGAAACCTTGCCTGTACTTACGATTACTTGCCTTGCCCCTGTTATTTTTGGACTGCTCTCTGGTTGTTGCATACCCTGCCTGGACTCCTGACCTAAGTACCTTCCTTGTTCTATATAGCCTGTCTTGCCTGCCCTTTTTACTCTGGAGCTCGGTCTGCACGGAATATTTTGACATCCTGTCACTCCCTGGTACTGGCTATTAATTGGGTCCCTACCTTTACACCTTCGGAGGCTGCATACGCTGTCCTTCGTGACAAAAATATGAAAATGTATTAAAACAGAATGGTCTAAATGAAAGCACTGACTTCTTGTTTCTTTTCCCCTCATTCAGCATCCAAAACACTGGACATTGATATCCAGTATGATTATGTACTTTGGTAGAGACCCAATCAGTGTTTCCTCTACCATTAATTTGATGCCCTGTACTGCAAATGCAACCTCGCGCCCCTCAAAAAGAAAAGCACAAATCATGCGCATCTTATATGCATTTCACTGTCTTGCGCCATGACTGCTATTGTCTTGTGTCCCTACTGAGGGTGTGGTTTATCCGTGCTTCATACACATGTGAAGGAAACAAGTTGAGTGAGAATAGCCCGAGCTGAATCTGTAAAAAATAAAGATGGACAAAGGTCGACCTCCCTGGTAAAAACCAGGCACCTACACCCCACACCCCTGCCCTGACCAATTAACCTAGGGGAAACACTGCTAATTGTAAGATTCCAGTCTGAGGCACAGACTATCTCTTGCTGATTTTTAGTGTGCAAACCTAGAAACCCTAACACCTAACACCATCCTAGTTATTAGCAGGTAACTGCTAATGAAGTTGCTGTGTGGGATTAAAACAACACCAAAGAGTTTACACACTGCTTTGATTTACCATTATCAAATCAGCATAGGCAGGAAGTGATTGGCTCCTTCCCCATGGCCTGAGAGGGAGTGGATCATCTTCAGTGGTGTCTGCAGGAGATGTTGACTCCTCCAGCTGGCTTTCTGGAGTGACTGCACCTCCTGAGAGAGAATACAGTTTGTGCTCCTCCTGCAGGGTCAGAAGTCATGGGCAAACTTCTTAACGGAACAAACCATGATAAAAAAAAAAAAAAAATTTGTTAACACATCTGCTAAGTATGTGAGAAAATAAATCATATCCATATATATATATATATATATATATATATATATAAATTCCCACTCTCACCCCACT